GGCCCCTCCCACCCCCGGAGCCACTAGATCCAATCGAGAGGGGTGGGGTCGGGTGGGGCACCTCCTCCGGATGCCTCTTCGCCCTGCCCTGCCCCAAAGACACCTGTCCTGGGCCTGCTTTAAAGGGGGGGTCGGGGCTGGAGACCCCCTCTGGCACGCGGCCCGGGCCCCAGGTGGCGGCGAGCTGGGGAGGCCCGGGCTACGCCCCCGGACTCCTCCCCTGCGACGCCGGGCGCGTTTCCGGCAACGCTGGCCTGGGAATGACTCAGTCCCGGAGGCCCGGACCGGGGACCGGCCCTGCCCTGCTGGTTTCTGGTCTTCCCGGTGGCCTTCGAGGGACCGCCGGGCCGGCCTCAGATGCACGTGGGCCTGGAAGCACTCGGATTTGGGGCTCTGTGTCTTTTAAATGGTCCAAAGACAAAACTTGCTCGCGGGTTCGTGTTAGCTAGCATAGTGACCCTTACACGATAGCCGATCAAGAGCGCGTGTTAAATGCAGTCCAAAAAGTAAATGCAAGGAAACGGCGGTGGCTGCGCAGTGAACAGACCCCGGTGCGCAGCAGCCGGCAGCCAGGGAAAGCGGCCAAGGGGCACCTTGCATTCCCTGAGTACATGCTGGTGGGGCATCTTTACATACGGAACTTTATAGCCAGGGAATACGCCAGGCGCTTCAAAAGGTTCATGGAGGAAATTTTTTTTTTCTCCTTCCATTTTTCCACCAACTTTGGAAGACGAGAGAAATCACCTGTGAGATTATGTGTGCTGTTTTGGTTTGGGGGTGTTTCGTGTAATCAGAAAGCTCTTTGCAACCTCTTTTCCTGTCTAAAGACATTGGTGAATACTAGGAAGCTTCAGCGTTTCAGTAGATGTTTTTATCATAAACCTGGTTCCAGGAGCAAGCTGCTTTCTTAGATTAGAGCCTCACGTACAATTATTGGGCAAAGGATGTGACCTTGTTAAAAGCTTATAAATGGTGCGCGTGGTAAATGAGAATGCCCCTTTCACTCCACTGTTAGCACTTTTTTTCACCATAATTCCAGACAAATTGATGGCAAAATGTCTTAGTGTAACTTCATAGTCTTTCTTGATTAGTGATTCTGGCCTTTTGAAATGGTGCCCATTTTAATTAGTAACTCAGTCCTGTTGAAAAGTTTGGTTTAGAATCTACTGTGTGATAGATACTAGTTTAATTGTTGAGAGGCTTCTAGTCCCCAAGTCTGGTACCCCCTTCAGTAGAACCTAGCCAGTAAGAACCCATTAACCCAGCCAGAAGACCTTTAAGCGAGAGGGCACATTACAAACAAAAGAAAATTGACTGGTTTCTGGAGCGAAACTGTCCTTTCCTCTTGGTAGTAGTTGCAGCTCTGGTGATTCTACCCCCCCCCCCCCCATCACTGAGGTGCACAGGGGTGTCAGGGAATTCATCACTCACAAAAGCGCCCCAACCCTGAGATAAATCAAGCCGTGTTCACAATTGTGGCCCGCAGCCTCTAATGAAAACCTGAATTCGAATATGATTGGTATTTATCAACATTGAATGCTCTCTAGATTTTCATCCTGATAGGCTGAAAGTTGTGTCTTTATCAATCAGAAGAACCTTGTTTTGTAGAACTGTATTAGTGCCATATTTTTGTACAAATAACACGTACCTTCTATGTTGGCCAACTGCCCCCTGGGAGATAATTTAACCACTGGTGCTTCCCTCCGCCCCCTGCCCCCGCCCTACAAGTGAGGGGGAAATGACACAGTTGCATTTACTGAAAATACCTCCTGGGAAGAGGGAGGGATTAGTAAACAGGGGTGTGATATTTTCATGAACATATGGTAGTTTAGTGCACTAGGGTCTGTTTCTGCAAAGAAAGGGATAATGGTGAACCACACAGTGTTGTTGTTTTTTTAAAGGAAGAATTTTAGCTGCTGTCGATTGAATCCTATTATCATTCACATGAAATGGCTGTTTGTGGCTTATTTGACCAGCAACTGAGACATTGGATTGGATATAAATGTTTATCTGATAGCTCACTGCTGGCCTGTTTCTAAGTCCGTACCAATTGTGCTAAAGAGGAGAAGGTTCGGTTCCACAGTTATAGTTTCCACACCATCATAAATAATTCACAGAGGTTGGTGGTAAGGGATTTCTTGATCTCATCTGCCGGTGGAATTTATTTTATATGTATCCCTTATGCAAAATAGCATGAAAAGTGCTCCCCTCATGAGACTCAAGATTGTTTCATTGGAGCGATAACGAGGGCAGAATTTAGAAATCAAAAAGCAGAACCCCATGGTTCATAAATAGTACGACCTCGACTCTTGAAAGCTTTTTTTTTTTTTCAAATATGAGAAGATATATTGAATGTCACTTGACTTCCATGCATCTATGAGGTTTTGAAACGTGGAAGAAGTGATTTTTCTTGACTTTTTAAAAAAGTTTTCACATTTTCTTCCATAAACAATATTAGTTTAATCAGACAAGTGTTAGCTTTAAGGTAACTTTTTTTCTCCTTTGGATGAGTCAGTTGTTAAATCCCTGTGCCATTTGACTTCAACCCTGTTCATCAGCCGATACGCATTTGTTGGGTGGCTACAATATGCCTGGATTTGATGTGGAAGCGTTTGGTTTTTTGTGTGGTTTTTCTGACAATTTACTTAGCTTAAATGTAGATTACTTATTTTTCATGAACCATAACCATGAAGATGTGTGAAGTATTTACCACATCTTGCTTCCTTTATCAAACGACAGTTCTAGCAGTATTTAAGATTCCTTTCAAACCTACTGAGTCTCTCTGTCTGTCTGTCTATCTATCTATCTATCTATCTATCTATCTATCATCTCACGTGTACCTTTTTTCCTCCTTAGGAAGATTTTCAGGCAGCCCTGAAGAGTGCTGGAGAGAAGCTTGTAGTGGTTGACTTCTCAGCCACATGGTGTGGGCCCTGCAAAATGATCAAGCCTTTCTATCATGTGAGTATTGAACAACTTTTACTTTGAAAGAGATTGGTCTTGTGGATGGGGTGCATCACCAAAATAGGAAAGTAAAATTGGTTTTTGTTTTTTTTTCGCTTGTAGATCTTTTGGTCTACCAGCACAGTAGTGTAGCCATGCAAGTGTGATTCATGTGGGTCAGTTAGGTTGAAACATGGGCCCTACTCCAAATGCAGACCTCCCAAGTGGATGTACCAAATTACTTTATAGCAGGAGGAATGTATTCTGAGAAAAATGGGTGTCTCTTCATACCTGCCTGGTGTCTTAAAATTTGGGGGACTTTATTGGGGGGGCGCGGGGGCGAATTCTTCATTACTTTAATCAAGTGTTTATTTACAAAGCTTGAGTATCTTGACTGCTGTTTCCCAGGTTTTAAAACTTTGGCTTTCTTATTTTAAATGTTTTCTAGTCCCTCTGTGAAAAGTATGGCAATGTGGTCTTCCTTGAAGTTGACGTGGATGACTGCCAGGTATGTGTTTGCAAATTTGAAATACTGCTGAGGCCTCGTGCTAACTTGAAGTGTTGACTATTCAGTCTTTGATGCTGTTAAGACCCCCATGTAACCAGGGGACGGGCAGTGGAGGAGACCAACCTCGTTGCCACCAAGTCGGTCCTGACTCACAGTGACCCTCAAGGACAGAGTAGGCCTGCATCCCTAGAGTTCGCAAGCACCACAATTTAAAATGAGGTAGTCTGCTTTCCGCGCCTTTGCCCTTGGCCTCCTTGGAGGATGCTCGGTCTCGTTGGTGCCAATCAGGTTTGAGGCCCTACCTCTTACAGCCTACTGAACCCTTGAGACACTGTTCAAGGTGTGTCACCTTGGAGCTCACTGTGCATGTGTGAGCCATTATGCACGTTCACACTAGCCTGGCCCCAGGGGACAGGAGGAGTTAGCTGCTCCGTGGTGGTGGTATAGTTGTGGTACACAAGGCACTGGGCCTGGATTCTGTTCTTGAACCTTCTGTGACTTTCTGCTTTAGGCTAATCCAGTGGTTCTCAACCTTCCTAATGCCACGACCCTTTAATACAGTTCCTCATGTTGTGGTAACTCCCAACCATAAAATTATTTCTTTGCTACTTCATAACTGATTTTGCTAGTTATGAAGCATAATGTAAATTGTCATGTGTTTTTCCGATGGTCTTAGGTGACCCCTGTGAAAGGGTTATTTGACTCCCAAAGGGGTCATGACCCACAAATTGAGAACCGCTGGGCTAATCCCTTGTTCTCAGTATATGACTAGTTCTTTACATCTACCTCTTATTCATTAGCATAGATTGCTTAATAAAGGTAGTGAGGGTCCATAAAAGCAGATATACGGCAGCCCTTGATAAGTTTGTAAGGACCTCTGTGACTTGGACCATGTTTCGTACCTTGCAGTCTGTCTTACAGTCCCCGGCCCATGCCCTACTCGCCCATCTCCCACTCACGTTCTGCCTGCACTCTCGTCTCTACATGGCTCAGCCTTTCCTTTTTTGCCTGTTATGCCTGGCCGGTTCATACTCTGAAATGACCCTTCCCCGCCCTAGTCTGGGTTAGTTTCCCGTCCTCTGTGCCCCACCCGCTCACGTCCTGTTGATGTTGGCTGAGGTGGCGGTGACGTTGGCTTTCTTCCGCAGCTGTCACTCATTACTGTGCAACCCTGTGCCTCAGTCGGAGCCTCTGTGCACTGATGGTGCGCCTCTGAGAGCAGACAGTAGTGGCCAAGATAAAAGGAAACCCCCAGCATAGGGTCCGGCACGGGAGGCGTGTGCTCGGGAACATCTTAACTATTATTCCAATGATCACTTAATGTTTGTCCTCTCAGGTTTCTTGGGACCCTGTTTCCTTTTAACACTATGGGGGTGGGGGGGGGCAGGGAGGAGTCACATGTTAATGAATAAAGCCCTTGGTGCTCTTTCTACCTCAGTTCCCAACTTTTTGGAAGTGGATAGGCAAGAGCCTTCCTTCTGACCCAAGTGTGCCGGGGGGCTGTGACCATCATCCGGAATGTGCCTTGACTGACCTTGGCATAACCCTCTAGCAAATGGGGGTGCCTTTCCCTTTGACTCCCAAAGGGAGTCAAATATTCCAAAAATTACGTCTCATAGAGGCTTCCCTAGAAAGCTCTCTAGCCACGCGGGCAGTAAGAACTGACCTGCTTGATGTCAGAGACACTCCAGGTCAATTTTATGGCCATAGGAAAGTGGTTCCTGGCAGTTAACCTTGATTTCTTTGACAAGACTACGCCTCTCAACTCTCCCAGTGGATTGGTGCTTACTTTGTGAATGAAAACTGAAACAAAACCATTTGGATCTGATCATTTTGTAATCTTTTGGAATGCCATGTATGCCTCTTGGTTTTTGATAGAATAAGCAGCAATGAGCTCAGGAGTGGCAAAGGCAGATTTAAAGGTATTTCAGCCACGTGGCCAGCTGAGCTGGAAACCAGAGAGTCCCCTGTAGTTATGAGACAAACTTTGTTTTGAATTCCAAGTTTGGGCAACACGATAAGGCTGCAGTACACATCAGTGGTTGCAAGGGGTAGGAGCCCGGAGAGGAGATGTGGAGAGCCAGGGGCTTGTCCTATCTTGACGGAAGTGTTGGTTTTATGACTATACTTTTATCAAAGCTCACAGACCTTGTACACCCCTAGAAGATGAATTTTACTCTATATTTTTTCCTTTCAATATCCAGATTGTTCACAGAAAAACACGAAGTGGTGGGAGGAGTCCCATTAAGGAGTGAGCTAGCTTTCTATCTTTAGATAAAGAGAGTGGCAAAGAAATATCGAGTCAAGGGTGTTTTCAAAGCTTACATAAAGTTTTAAATGGTGTGCATACTCCCACCTCACTGGAGGAATAGAAAGCAGATAAGCTAGTTTATAGGACAAGAAGTAGAAATGAAATAAAACATCAACTTTAGGATATAAATGTTAGGAAACGATCTAACTATAACATGCTCATATAATGAAATTAAAGATTTTATTCTATGGGCATGTTATAGTTGTATTATCTGGGCATGTATTATCTGGACACCCAGATACAGAGTCACTTAGTTAAATATCAGTACCCTCAAATTTTCCACCCTTTCTCAACCAGGCATTTTGGGGTGGGACTGATGCATTATTCTGAAGTAATAGACCGAGAAACATTTTGGAAGGTATTAAAAAGAAAAACATACTGGTGAGCGGAGCTGGAAGCAGGCCCCACAGAGTAAAGCATGTTTGCTGTGTTGATGGAAACAAGGCAACAGGGAGGTCGTGGAACAGAGTAGACAGCCCTCCAGAGCGGAGCCAAAGCTACTTAAGCACTTAGTAATGATTCATCAGTTGGGGTTGAAAAGTTCTCTCTGTTTCTTTCAAGAAGAAACTTTAAGACCCTAGGAAACCCTGTAAGCGTAGCCACTGCGTCTGGTAAGTACGCTGTCTCGTGTCATCTGAACAGCGTTGTCTCGTCACAGAGGAAAGGGCCCGGGAAAAGTGTGGTCACCCAACTGAAGGGAAAGGCTGATGGATTTAGCTACAGTACCAGTCTTAAGTTAAATGTCAGAAATCATGCTATATTGATACAAAATCCCTGGGAAACAGTCTAACAACAATGTGTATCTAGAGCCTTTACAGTGAGCATACTCTAACTCTGAATTAAATTTAACTTCCGGGGCTGGGCGGGGGAAGATTAAAGTGTTTAGCCAACATCTAAACTGTTAACATATTGAACTGTGGGTTAGTCAAAGTGGAGGTGTGTCCCTATAGTGACTGTGCTGAGGACGTTTTAAAAACAGGTCTTGTGTGTAATGTGGGAAAGGATCAGTTGTGTGCACTTTCTCCTAGAATGTATGTGTATTATAGTGTATGTGCCACTGGCTTTTCAAAAAAATGTGCACATGAGCAATAAAATGTTAGCAGTAGCTCGTTGAGAACACACATTACCTTGGTGTTTGGGGGTTTTGTTTTGTTTTTTTGTTTTTTGGCATTGAACCTGGATTATGTGTATGTAAATAGATTAATTAAAATATATGTATTTGTTTTCTTAAACCCAGCCATTCCAGTTTAAGGATTTGCTCCAGGGATGTGACTGGACATTTATTTGCAAGGATGTACATAGATTGAAAATAGCCCAGAAGCCTAGTAAATTGGGGGAGGAGTGGTGGTGTTAAAATCATGATATGGGATCCTATACCACTTTTAAAAGTCACATTCACAGGCAAAGAAATGAAAACATTCTTAATGCTTTCATTAAAATGTTTCAGCAGTAGTAGGTAATAAAGATTTGGCTGTAATTTTTAAACATCACATGAAGGGCCTCGTTGAAGGCATTCAGTCAGATAAGACTTCGGGTTTGGCTGCTCTTCATTATTTCTCTTTATATGGGCCCCGTATTTTCCATGAGAAAGATGAGGCTTTTTTACTAGCGCAGAGTTAGTCTCGGGAAACCCCCAAGAGTCAGCAGTGTGTTTGGTTTTGCTTTGGGTATTTCCACCAATACAGCTTGGAAGTAGTCTGTCAGCTAGAAGTGGTGATGCATAAGTACGTTCATATGTGAAGGCAATTTGAGTTCCACCAACAATACTTCTTTGGTATTAGAGGAGTTCAATGGAAGAGAGTGGGCCCTCAGGAGCCTTGCCAGGTCACTAACTCATAGTGATATGGTAATCCAGGAGCAAACACACCTGTCCTCTGAGGCTTACACCATTTGCTTCCAGGAAATTTTGTATCACACTGTGATTGAAATGTGCTAGGTGGAGAGGGTATGACGAAGTGACCAGCTACTAATCTAAAAAAAGCAGCTGCTCTTCAACCCAGTCAGTGCCTTGGAGGGTAAGCCCGGTGTTTGCAGAAATTGGAGGTCAAGAGATACCACGAATGGGCAACACATTCAGAGTTTTGCTTGGGGATCACTTGAATTGGGCTCAGATTTGGCTCAAAGCGACCCATGTATTGTAACCTCTTAGCTACCCTCCTAACCTGTCATCTTCTGATTTCCTGATTAACCAACTCGTACGATCGGGTCTCTTCTGACTCAGTGACCTGAGAGCACAGAGGAGAGCTGCCCCTCTGGGCTTGCAAGGCTGTAAACCTTTTTGAAAGCAGACCAATGCACCTTTCTCCTGCAGAGGAGCTGGTGGGCTTGCCAAGAGTTTAACCGCCCTGCCACCAGAGCGCCTTCATGTCCTGGTTATTTCTCCATGCTGGCTACGTACCCACAATCCCCGCAGGTCCTTCCCATGAGACTCTCCTAAGATCTTCATTTTGATTGCCCTATTACACAGTGCTGGTGACTTCTCCATCTCCCTTTCTTGGACCAAGCATTGGACGCTTAGAACATGGCAGACGTTGAATTTGAAGTCCCTTCGTATTTAGAAAGTTGTAAAGCCACACTCTACTTTCCTGTCTTGGAGGAAGAGATGAAGTTACACCTGAAGAGTTGCTCTTTTGAGCCCCCAACACAGAGCCTCGTCTCCATTTGCAATTACAGGGCCCTTTACTCCTGAAGTCACCACCATGGGGGGGTGGGGGGGTGGTAGTGAAGTGTGCTGAGTCAATTCTGGCTCACAACGAACCTCACCAGCAGAACCTGTTAGGTTTGAGCCCATTTTTGTAGCCACTTCGTCAATCCTCCATCTTATTGGCCCTTTGTGGCCCTTGAAAGTTCTTTGGTTTCCACAATCTGGTTCTTAATTCTTCCTGCTTGACTGCTGGCCCTGTGCAGCTTCTCACTGGCTGCTGGATCCTTCCTCCTTCCTTTCCCAGCCCTCTTGAGCGCCTGCCTCCAGGAGCCTTTTCCACCTCAGCTTGAGATGCTTGTCCAAGCCAAACCTTGTGTGGGGCACTTTCTTCTAGACTCTTACAAGTGAACAGTGTATGGAAAGTGAGCTGTTAGGTAAACCCTCATGGTGCATCCTTGCAACAAAATGGTGTGGTGTGCATTACCCGGTCAGCTGTGCGGTTCAGAAAAGTCTCCTTTCAGTAGCGACCACGTCCAGTAGAAGAGAAGACGGGTGCTGACTAGCCCAATTCGCAGTGCTTGCCCATTTGGCTCCAATCAGGCGGTTCCCCAAAGTTAGAACATTCGCATCACTACGGGCCCAGAGGTGACTTAATAGTTTTCCTTGGACGGTTCTGATGTGCAGCCAGGCTTGAGAACCCTAAGTGAATTTTTAATTGAGAATACACAGAAGACCCGTGCATGGAAAATGTTAAAAGGCAAATGAATTTTACATATATATATTTATCACACCCCCAAAAAAAGGAAGATTAAAGAAAACCCCAAGGTGGTACTGTCTCTACTTTACTATGATTTTCTTTGGGGGTTAATTCTTTTGCAAGTACAGTTTTGCTTATCTTGCAACACTTGGACTTTAGCCCTTAAATCATCATTTAGTTGCCCCCACCCACCCCCATCATAAAACTAGGGGGACAATGAGCAACAGGAAGAGGTGCGCGTTCTGAGGAATAGGTGCCGTCAGACTCCAGAGCCCTTTACTGCGGTTGGCACTGCTTCCTTAGAGGACTTCCATAGGCACCATCTTACTCGGCTGACATACCTGGTGCCCAGGAAGCCTGGTGGATGCCCCTCGGAGAGGAGGAGAGATATTCATTAAGAAGAATCGTAATGGCAACAGTTTGGCTTTTGTGCCACCGTGATACTTGTTAAATTAGTGTTTGTGTACTGGGCGGGGAAGCCTAATGCTGGTATTGGGTTTCTAACAGGAAAAGCTCCTCGTTGATGCTCTGTCAAGGCTTTATGCGCATGGCCTTACCTGTTCCTCTCTGCTTCCTCCCTCAGGATGTCGCTTCAGAGTGTGAAGTCAAATGCATGCCAACGTTTCAGTTTTATAAAAAGGGACAAAAGGTATGGCCTTTCGAGAAAACTAGCTGGGAAATCAGAAAACGTGGGGGAAATGCAGCAGAAGTGACTGACCCCCAAATAGGAAGTATGTCACTACTTGTAGAATTTTTAAATATGCCTTTCCGTACTGAATTGAGTGAGAAGTGGGGTGTCTAAAATTGATCTTTGCTAGAATCCCACTAAATCTCTTGTGTTTGCTGTATCATATGTATCACAGAGTACACAGAAGTCCTTCGATACAGGCTCTGAGTAAGTCGTTATATGTATATGTAACATCAGTGCAATATTCTTTTCACAGGTGGGTGAATTTTCTGGCGCTAATAAGGAAAAACTTGAAGATACCATTAACAAGTTAAGTTAATTATGCTTCCTGAAAATGTAACCAGCCATCAGCTGTGTAAACCTTTTTGTATTTACAAGAAAGAAGAATCAAGTATGAAGACTA